CTTTCTCCCCTTGTTCTTATGCTTCAGGACAATTTTCTTTAATTATTTCTTATTGAATCAAGATTATTTTTTTGATCATAGCTTTCAGGTGGTATGATTATTCTTATATTTTCTCTTCTTGATCTGTTCACTAGATCAGTAGTTTTTCTTATGATGTTTCAGTTTCTCTTCTATTTTTTCATTCTTTATATTTTGTTTTATTTCTTGATCTCTTATAACTTCACTGGTTTCCCCTTGCCCAATTCTAATTTTCAAGGTGTCATTTTCTTCCTTAAGATTCTGGATCTCCTTTTCTAATTGGTTGACTTTCTTTTCTTAATATTCTTGTTTTTCTTGGATTGTTCTTATTTTTTTCTTCAATCTCTCTCATTTGATTTTTAAAGTCTTTTTTGAGTTCTTCTATAAATTCTGTTTTGGCAGGTGCCCATTTGACATTACTCTCTGGGGTGGCAGAGGGTTTCTTTGCTTCAATATCCTCCCGTGAAGATGAAACTTGGTCTTCTCTACTCCCATAATAACTTTCTATGATTGTATTCTTTCTCCCTTGCCTGTGCATTTTTTTTTTTGGTAGTAATAGCTTAATTTTTGTAATCACCTCTAGTCCTGGGGTATGAGGGATGGTGCCTCTGGCCCCAGATCTTCAGTTCTCCCCTGTAGCCTAGAACCAAAGTTAAACCTCCGGCCTCCTGTAAGCGCCCACAGCCAGAGGCATCCCTGCCCCACTGCTTCTGCACTCACTGGGCATGTGCTGGTTCCTTCTCAGCCCCAGTCATTCTCTGCAGCACAGCTGGGTTTGGCATTCCTTGTCAGCAGAGGTTCCCTCGATCTTCCTGGGCTCAGATGCCCAGTTCCCCTCACTGTCCCACAGGGGTAAAAGTTCCTGTGGGTGGGGCAGAGGTAGCCCTCCAACCCAGTTAACCCTAGAGATAATGGCACCTGCTATACAAGCTTGTTACTCCTTGACACATATTATTTGATCTAGTGACACTGGCCTCCTGGCTGTCCTATAAACAAGACACTCCATCTCTTGATTCTGAGCAATTTCTCTGGCTGTCTCCTTTGCCTAGAACACTCTCCTGTGCCAACTTCAACTACAGACCTCCCTGGCTTTCTTCAAGTCCCAATCACAATCTCATCTTCTACAGGAAGCCTCCAGAATCCCTATTAATTCCAATGCCTTCTTTCTTTTAATTATTTCCTATTTCTCCTGTCTATGGCTTGCTTTGTATATATTTGTTTGCATGTTGTCTCCCCCATTAGATTGTAAGCTCCCTGAAGGCAGGAACTGTTTTTTGACTCTTTTTGTATCCTCGGCACTTAATGTGTATTGATTGATTTTTGGGAGATTTAAATGAGACAGCATGATATAAATGTCTGCTATTTATTATTATATTAAGAAAAGATACTTGTGTAGAAATATATACTCTCTGAAGGAAGAAGTGAAATAGGGAATAACTGAGTGATGATCAAAGGAAAGAGAAAAAGAAGTGAAAGTTGAGGGGAAATGATTGTTAACTGTTCAGATAAAGGAGAAAATAATTAATTGCTGGAGAGACTAGTAATGTTATGAGAATGCCAAAACCTAGATATCTGCTAGAAATCTCATTCCATAAATGTAAAGCTTCTGCTAATTTTGGAAGCAGAATTAGTAATGAAGAAAACTGTTATTTTAAACTGAATTCTGACCAACAATGAACTGGCTGGGGAAACAGAAGAAAGAGGAATCTTGAGAGAAAGTGATATGATTATAGTTTGTGATAGTCAAGATGGGGAATTCTGGTCATGGCAAACCATATACTCTAAATATTAGGGAAGTAGATTTCAAAAAGTTCAGGGAAAAAAAAGGTAGGAATGATACTGTTTTTGTGTTTGGTAGTACTTGGTCATCTTGGCTATGAAGATGCCTTAGTTTCTTAATGCTATATCAGTAGAGTACAAGGTATATAGCAGTTCTACCATACTGGAAAAGAATTAAGTATAGCCTCAGCAAAAGACTGCCTTTTATCTAAAGACCAGCCTAATTAAATGTAGATAATCTTATCACTAGTAGACAGGCCATTAGGTAACAAATTCTTTGTTCATGGAGATCCCAAACATAAAAGCAAAATACAAAATAGTGTTTGGCCCCTTTTTGCTTCTGTACTATTAGTGGCAAGTGGTAGAAAGGGGCAGAAGGTGCTAATTTTTTTAAATAAAGTATATAAATATTTAATCGGGCTCTTGGAAATTTCTAAATGTAAGACTATTATCCAATAACCAATAAGTTGAAAATAGAAGAACTGAATCATACCACAGGCTTGAAAGTAGCTGGAGAACTTTAAATGACTTCTATGATAGCACCCTTCTCTGGACTCGCTCCTCCAACATGCACACAGATTCCAAGATTGGGCCCCTATAGGGCAGTTACTATTTTAGGTTTTAGAGGGAACGTTGTGTGTGGCTACTCCTTTGGCTGTAGGTTGTTGACAAGATACCATTAGTGTGTTTTATTTTAATAGTCAACCAGTAACTCTTAGCAAAGGCCTTTACTCAAAAGACATGGAAAGAATAATTATAAAACATTTCCAGTCTCTTCCAACATACACCTCCCCGCCCAGACCCTAAGGCAGAGGTAGGAAATCTGGGGTCTCAAGGTCACATATAGCCATCTAGGTAAAATTGTGGCCCTTTGACTGAATCTAAACTTCATAGAACACATCCTCTTAATAAAAGGATTTGTTCTGTAAAACTTGAACTCAGTTAAAAGGCTGCATACAAGGACCTTGAAGCTGCAGGTTCCCCACCCCTGCCCTAGGGCACATTCTCCCACAAATACATTTTAGAGTCTTTTGGAGGGGAAAATGTTCATAAACTTGAAGTACAATAGCAATGGGTAAGATGTGAAGGGAGCATATGTAGCCAAGGCAAATCACAACTATGGACCTACAAGGCCTTGATATTTTTTTTCTCTCTGGAGAGTCTGCATGAAGTTAACTGAGAAGTGTCGCATCGGTGATAGACCAGTTGTTCTACTGCTAGGCTGGGCTAGCTTGGCTGGCTGTTGAATGGATTCCTCAAAGGGCATGGTGTATGTCCTGGATGCATTAATCCAATGTACTCACTAGGCTCACTCTTCAATGAGCAGCTGCAGTCTCTATCACCTACAACATCAGGCTTGTCTGTGTGCTATAGTGCTCTTTCTTTTTTTTCTGGTGAGGCAATTGGGGTTAAGTAACTTACCTTGAGGCACACAGGTAGTAATAGTGCTCTCTCTCTTTTTTTTTTTTTTAGTGAGGCAATCGGGGTTAAGTGACTTGCCCATGGTCAGACAGCTAGGAAGTGTCAAGTATCTGAGGCCACATTTGAACTCAGGTCCTCCTGACTCCAAGGCCAGAGCTCTATCCACTAAGCCACCTAGCTGCCCCCTATAGCGCTCTTTTAAAAAGGGTACAGACCCCTACCGTGAATTGGCAGAAGTCTTTCTAATTCTACTCCCTCAGGGCCTCAGTTCTGAGGTTTGTTACCTCCCAAGCAGGAAGTGGGAGAGGAATAGCCTCTTGATTTTTTTTTTTTTTGACTACTCTTTCTGGTTACTTTGGTAAGAGACTTCATTCTAACTTATTTGTGACCATCTAGCACATATCTGAAAATCTACCTTTCTCTTATGCTTACTGGCTGGGGACAAGTTACTGAAGTGATCTATATCCTGATTGTATCTGTTAGCTTTTTGTAGTTGAGCTAGTCAATCCCTAAGATTCCCTAAAAAGTACAAAATAATTCAATAATTCAATTACACCTGAAAGGGCCTCATCTTTATATCTCATTGTCTCTTTTTTCCTTCAACTTGGCTGAAGTTTAAGAGAGGGAGTGGGGGGGCATATACTTACATTTGTATCTGCTATAACATTTCTGAGACTAAAGCATTACTGGGTTAGATAGCTTTCCCTTTGTCTCCTAATTGATTTCTCCAAACTACCTTCAAGTAAAATAATTGAGAATAAAATCTGTATCTGTGTTTGCTGGAAAAACAAACTCTGTATTTAAGAAATGCAAAAGAATAGAGTCAACCTACTGTGGTTAAGAGAGAACCAGAATCAGAGGCACAATGACCTGAGTTCAAGTCTTGTCTCTGATGCATAGTTGCCATGTGACCCTGGACAAGCCACTTAATCTCTGATGCAACTTGCCAAAATTCTAAATTATAGAATAACTGCCTAGGTTCCTCACAATAAAGCATTTCCTACAGTAATGAAATGACAGGTCAGAATAAGAAAAGACAAGATCAAGAACATCTCTCCCCTTCAGTTGTAAATACACAATAATTCCTTCTTTTGGTATAAAACATACTTTGACACTGACCAAGTCACTAAACTTCGGTTTGCCTCAGTTTCCTCATTTGTAAAATGGGACTAATAGTAACACCTAACTCCCAGGGCGGTCGTGAGAATCAAATGAGATCACTGTGAAGTGTTTAACACAGTGACTGGCACATATATGAGCTCTATAAATGCTAGCTATTATTATCATTATTACTTGCATAATGTCATTTTTATAGCTTTATTAGGCTGGTAATTAAAAAAAATCTCAGGCACTTAAATAGTTGCATTTTCCTTGTTGGTAAATCACACAGGAAAGTGTCCTGTGACCCCAGTGAAATGGGACTGTAACTAAATTCATCATTTTAATAAAAAATGAGGGAAAGTGGGATATAGCTTGCATATATATACTACTGTTCCAGGAACCCATGTTTGTTCCATTGGCTGAAGTCTGACAATGATGCTAGATAAGTAAAGAAGAAGTGGTATATAAGTGCGTGTGTATATATATATATATATACATATATATATACACACACATATATATTTTCATCTGGATCATCTGCGTTCAAGACAACGTAACGGACATAGCAGGTATTTAAAAACGTTTGCTGAAAATCCTGATGAAGGCAGGTGGGAGTAAATAAATAAGTCTAGAAGGTTGGGGATGAAAGACAGTAGTAACTCAAGTGAAGCGTTGCTTACCTTTCGCTCACAGCACAAGGCCCCAGGAAATCCTTGGAGTTTCTGGCACCACTGGAGATTCAATTCGACTTTACTTCCTTAGCTCCAACAGCAGTCAGGACATCACCAGGCCCGGTGTCTTAAAGACGAATAACAACAGCAGGCCTTTTTCTTTCTTTTTGTAGCCTCGTCGCTTTTCTGATGACGCAAGGCGCTCATACACTTTCAGGCTGAGGAGACGGACAAGTGGCGCAATACGTAATCGCTCGCGCGCCGGATGTGATGCTCTAGGAGAAACGGCGTAGCGTAGTCTTGTTTTACGGTTTCCTGTGAGTCCGCGGGCGGTGAAGATTCTCAGCTTTTGGAGGAAGCGGCCTGGGGCGGGTTACCCCGGGGAACTTTGTTGATGGTGGTGAGTCTTTTTCTACACTGGTTCTGTGATAATAGGTTAGGCCTATATGCGGGTAACAACCCTTTCTTTGCCTGAATGCCTCTGGGGAGCTAGGAGTAAGGGAGGCTGGTGTAGGGCCTCCAGCTTTGATCCAGCCCGGGTGGACGATTTCCTTTTCCCCTTAAAAAAAACGCCACCCCACCCCCACTCCCACCCCCGCCCCCCAAAAACTAACGGAAACAACCTAACAACAAACGCAAAAGGAGAATAGGTGACACGACATCAATCATATTACGTTAGAACTGTACTCCAAAGTTCTCATTTTACAGAAGGGAAAGGAATAGATATTTGCATAGCGCCTATTATGTGCCATGCACTTTTACAAATATTATCTATTCCTCACCCTGTGAGGTAGGTGCTGAATATTATTCCCATCTTACAGTTTAGGAAACTAAGGCAAGTAGAGCTTAAGTGACTTACTCAGGGTGACACAGTTAGTAAGTGAGATGCCGAATTTGCTCTCAGATCTTCCTGACCCACAGCCAGAGGTCTACTCACGGAGCCATCTAGCCGCCACATTTTATAGAGGGGAAAATTGAAGCCCAATTAGAGCAGGTGCCTTTTTGTTGCCCTTTGTTAGCAGTTGATTCTTTTGAGATAGTGGTGTTCAGTGATTTGCAACCATGTAGTATCACTGGGATGATAATTGATGTTAAATGTCGTCATTTTGCTTTAGTGAACAGCTTGAGAATTATTTAAAGCACTGTGTAGTTTCCCAAATGGGTAGCTAGGTGAGGCAATGGATAGAACACGGTCTGAAGTCAGGAAGACCTGAGTTCAAATGAGGCCACAGACACTACCTTTGTGACCCTAGGTGAGTCACTTAACACTTTGCCTCAGTTGCCTCATCAGTAAAATGAGCGGCAGAAGGAAATGGCAAACTATTCCAATATCTTTGCCAAGAAACCCCAAATGGGGTCATGAAGAGTTGGACAAGGCTGAAAAAAATATCTACACACTTGATAAACACACATCTCATTCTGTATTCTGAATCTTTCACTTCTCTATGAGGAGAGAGGTAGTATGTTTCATTATTACTCTTTTGGAATGGTGGTTGGTCATTAGACTGATAAAGAGTTCCTAAATCTTTCAAAGTAATCAGTCCTTACTATTTTGTTGTTGTATAAATTGTTCTCCTGTTTGTTTCACTCTTCAAGGGTTTCCAGGTCTCTCAAAAACTGTCCCATTCATCATTTCTTACAGCACAACTATATCACAGCAAAATCAGATTTATATATCATAATCTGTTCAGCCATCTCCAAATTTATGAGTACCTCCTCAGATTCCTCTTCTTTGCTACCTCAAAAAGAAATATAAAAATGCTTATACTTTTGCATAGTACTAATCCCTCTCTTAAACTGCCCTCCTGGTTACCCCTTTTCTGCTTTCTGTCGTATTTCCCTATTGCATGTATTATTTCTGTACCCATTCTTCCCTTCCTTGACCAATTCTGATGAAAGTGAGGTTCAAGTGTTAGCTGCTCTCCCTACCTCTTCTTTCTTGTTTGTATAGAGTTATACTTTTGTATCTCAATTATGTTAGATTATTTTCTCTAACCTTCCTTTCCCTTTCCCTTCCCCTTCACTGCATTCCTTTTCCCCTTTCTTTCTGTTCTTCTATTAGATCATCAAGACAAAACAAAACCACTCCCAGGCCTAATCTAATTTGACTCTCTCTATGACCCTTGATGTTAGGGTTCAGAAGGGACATTGTATCATCTCCTCATATTTGAGTGTAAGCGGTTTATTCTAATAAAAAGTATTTACCTTTTTATGTTTCTCTTACCTCCTGTGTTTGAACTTCAAAGTGTCTATGGAGCTTTGGCCTTTTTATCAGGAATTTTTAAGAAGTCGTCTATAAAGTACAGTTTTCTTGCCTGTATGATTATACTCAGTTTTGCTAGGTAATTTATTTTTGGCTTTAAGCGTGGATCCTTTTTCACCTGGAATATGGTATGCTACACTGTCTGCTGCTTCATATTGGTGACTGCTAAATTGTTCCTGACTGACTCCTTGGTTCTTGAATTTTTTCTGACTGCTTACATAATTTTTTCTTTTACCTGGAGTTTTTATGTTGGGGTTTCTATCAAGAGCTGACAGGTGGATTCTTCATATTTCCACTTTACTTTCTGGTTCTAAGAGATCTGGACAGTTTTCTTAGATTTCTTGAAATATTATGCTAAGGCTCTTTCAGTCATGGCATTGAAATAGTCTAATGATTATTCAAGTTTTTCTCCTCAGTATGTTTTTTAGCTCAGTTGTTTTTGCTGTGATATTTTTTTCTATTTTTTTCCTAGCCTTTTGACTTAGAATGTTTCTTGATATCTCATGGAAATAATAGCTTCTGTTTGGTCTGTTCTGATTTTCAGTGAGTTTGTTGTGTGGGCAATATTTTGTACCTCTTATGGCAGGCTGTTAATTCTCTTTCTAATTCTTTCTTCCATAACTCATTTCTTTCCATTTTTTTTCTCAAGTGATCATGCTCAATTGAAAAAAAAAATTTAACTCTTTCAAACTCTTGTTTCATCTTTCCCTTAAATTCTTATTGCGTTTGTGCCCAATCTGTTTTTCTCTGAAGCATTGCTTGTAGATGTTTTAGAGTCACTCTCTTCTTCGTTTGTGTATTGAGCATCCCTGCTACCATAATAGTTCCTTATGCTGGAATTCTTTTTTTGTTTGCTCATTCTTCCATCTTACTTCCTGACTTCAGATGATATTAAGGCTGGGCTCTGCAGTTCAGAAGGGAAAGTTTGCTGGGCTGATCTTGTTGCTGCTTTCTTGGAGATATTGAGTTCTCTCAGAGTTGTCTGATCCAGGGTGAAGTCTGATTGCTGCCTTTTTGGTTTGAACTCTGCAAGTTCATAACTTGGGTTTGGATTTAAACAAGAGTAGACTGATGCTGGACTTAGCCACTGTCAGCATGCCCTAGTTATTCCTTTGCAGGCTTCAGATTGGACTAGAACCTGAAAGTGAGACTGTTTTCCTCTGGAGGTCTTGGTCACACTGCTGCTGTGTGGTAATGAACCTGTTCCTTCCACTGCTGCTCATTTTTACGAGAACACCACTTGTGAGCACAGATCTCCTCAGTCTTCTGGATCTGACCACTGAAACTGGATAGTAAGCAACTGAGATGCCAGGTGACACTTGTACTCTTGCCTGTACTGACATACTTTGCCTGTAGCATGACCCTGTCCAGACCTGTGTCCTCACACCTCTCTCTGTCTCCCTGTGCTGACCTGGGCTGGAAAAATGATTCACTGTTAAGTTTTTCTTGGATTTTCACATTAGGATTCAGCATTTTATGGATCTTTTGTAGGAATTTTGCAGGGGAGGATCTCAGACTTTTTAAAAAATATGTGGGGTGTGTGTGTGTATGAATGTATGCATACTAGTACATACATATGTATTTTTCAATCAACAAAAATCTGCCTTTTCAGTTTTCACCTTGACCCCAAATTTCCCTCCCTAATTTGAGAACTAAAGAAAAACAAACCTCATTACCGACATGTATAATAAATCAAAACAAATATCTACATTGGCCGTGTCAAAAAATATATATATTTGTTTCATTCTGCACCATGAGTCTTTTATCTCTCTTATCAATAGGTAGAAACCTGTTTCATCATTAGTCCTCTGGAATAATAGTTGGTCATTGTACTTGATATGAGCTCCTAATTCCTTTCAAGTTGTTTGCCTTTATCATATGGATGTCATTGTATAAATTGTTCTCCTGGTTCTATTCACTTCACTCTATCAGCTGATATAAGTATTTAATTTTCTACAACATGATAGTATTCTATCACATTCATATATGATTGGAATACTTGTTTATCCATTTTCTAATTTATGTGGACCCCCTAAGATTCACAATCTTTACCACCTCAGAGTTTTTGGGTACGTCCTTATTTCTTATTTTCTTTAGTATTGATCCCTCCCTCCAATTTCCACTCCCCCTCTCCTCTTTTCTTTCTTTTTTTTATCGAATGAAATGTATTTCTGTATGTGTGTGAGTGTGTGCATGCATGTGTATGTGTATGCTGGGGTATGTATTCTTCCTTTTTAAACCAGTTTAGATGAGAGTGAGGTTCAGGTGTCACCTGGTCCCATCACCTCCTTCTCCTTGTTTATAGGTGTTTACTCGGGTATCCTAATTATGTGAAGTAATTTTCTGTAAATCCCTGCTTCCTGTCCCTCCCCATGTATTTCTCTTTCCATTCTTTTCTTAAACTCATTAAGACATAAAAGAACCACTCTTAAATTTTATGTTTCTCTAATTTATTGATGTGGTTGTAGTTGTGTATATTCTTCTCTTTTGTCTGCTTATTTCTTCGCTTTGTGCCAGACCATACAATTCTTTCCTAGATTCCTAATTTATTCTTTCTCACTGTGTAATATTATATTGTATTTATATGCTATAGTGTTTTCCACCATTTGCCCTTGATGTAAAACTTTCTTTAAAGTTTTTGCTACATCTACAAATATTTTGTTGTTCATTTTCTTTCTTTCTTTCTTTGACTTTCTTGAGGTATTTGTCCACTAATGTTATTGCTGTGTAAGATAGTATGGACAGTTCAGTTGTTTTTCTTGCACGATTCCAAATTAAAACCCAGAATAGCTGGACCACTTCACAGTTTCAACCTGATACATCAGTATGCTTTCTCTTACTACAGCCCTTCCAACATTGATTTTTCTTTATTTTTTTCACTTTTGCCATTTTGGTAGGTGATTAAAAACTCGAGTTGTTTTGATTCCCATTTCTCTTATTTAGTCATCTCAAACATATTTTTATGTGGCCATTTTTAGTTGGTAAATCATCATTTGACTTTCCTGCAGTGGGTACCTTCTCTATCCCTTCCTTTTCAGTTTGTTTTTGTGCTTTTTCTCCACCCCTCCCCATTAGATTGTTAATTCCTTGAGGGCAGACTGTTTTTCTTTTTGTATCCCCAGTGCTTACTGCAGTGCCTTGTGCATAGTAGATGCTTAATAAATGTTTATTGACTATTGAAAGGAAATTTATAATGTTTTGTAAAGCCATGGAATGAAATAATTTATCTGCTAAGGCCAATTCTGTATTCAAAAATATAAAAGTGAGGGAGGTGTAAAGTTAATTGGTTAATTTTGTAATATTGCCATGGAATTATTTTTTGTCTTGAATATGTTTAGTGATAGGAAATATTAGCATGACTTATTTGAAGTTGAATATATTAAGATGACATTTAACTTTGATAAAAAGGACAATATTTAATATGGTTGAAATTTTTAAATATGTCCTTAAATTTTATAAAACCTTTTATTCATTTCATTAATTTTATTTCTCATTCATTTTCATTATAAATGGCTTCCTAGGCCCAGAATCCTGCCTTATATTTTTAATGCTGTGGAGTTTATGGTATACATATTTGTGACTTTTATCTTGCATTAACTGTTTAATTCTTTGTATAGAAACAGTGGTTTAAATCTGTACTTTTTCCCTCCTCTATAGGAGTTCGTTGATTCCTGAAAAAATACAAGTAAGTGCCCTTATTTATTTGGAGGGATGGGTGATAGATTAGCCAAATTCATTTTTAAGTCATTTTTAGTCATATCAAATTAATTATTATTTCATCCAAAGATACAGGATTATTTTAAGTTTTTTTCTTTTTCGACATTCACTTCTATAAGATTTTGAGTTCTGAATTTTCTCCTCGTCACTCCTCTCCTTCCTCCCCAAGATGGTGTGCAATCTGGTAATATAGGCTTATTTTAAGTCTTATTGATGTTTACTTTAAAAAGTTATAGCATAAATGTTTTCATAATCTTCCCACTTCAAAAAAAAAAGCTATTTTTGAAGTTTAAATTTTCTCCAAAATTTTTGGATAGAGAAGGGAAACTATTTGACTGATCTTCGTATTAGAGAAACCCACTTTCCTTTCAGAGACTCACTCTATTTAGACCACTCTGTTTTACTATTTTAGACCAAATATATACTTCTCACCCAATATCCCTCATACCCTTAAAACAATATCTCTTGGAAAACAAAAATACACATATTTACATGAACATACATTAATAAATCACATTGATTATAGACTTCACTTAAGTTTTCTTTATTCAAACCACATTTTTGGGGGGAGAGGGGGAAGCATTGCCTCTGTTCCAATAAATACAGTGTAAAAACATAGACCCTTTGTAAAGTTCTGTACTGGCTGGGGGGTGGGAGAATAAGGAGGGCATAAATGAATGACTAACAAATAACTGCTGCCCTAAAGTTAACAATCTAGCAAGAAAAAGAAGGCAAATATGCAAATAATTGTAATACAGAATAAAATGTGATTATGCATTGGTTTGTGCAAGGCTTGTGGATTATATCAGTTTGAGAGCATCAAGGAAAGTTTTATGGCAAGTGCTAACAGTGTATCTGAAAATTGAAAGATGGGGAGGACTCAAGCAATCAGATGGTTGAATGAGGCACATTTAATGAGTAAGCACACTTACAAAGGTGGTATAGGGTTGTACAGGAGTATTGGTTGAGTAGTCCAATTTGACTGAGTCATCAGATGTTTAAAGGGGTTGTATAAAAATTGGAAAAGTAAAGGGCTTTGACTGTTAGGCTAAGGAGTTTATTAATTAGTTTATACTAGTAAGTATACAAATTATGATTCAGTGGTTCTTTTTTTGTTTTTTATTCCTTAGTGGCATATAGAAGAGATGATATGTGGTCTGAAGGACGCTATGAGTATGACAGACTTCCAAGAGAACGCTTACCTCCTAGAAGTCATCCTGAGGTTAGTTGCTTTTATAAATAGAACAACACAAAATAACTTTTGGAATTTTTAATAGACTATCATTAAAATTATTACTTTACTTTTCAAAGAAAACAAAGTAGTAAAATTCCATGGGATTAAAAAACTCTTAAAATACTAGTTGGATAATAGGTATTATTTGCTTACTTTTCCATTGGAAATAAGGCAATCAAACATAAAGCATAGATGTCTTTCATGTAGTGTGAATGTGAGCACTAGAGATAGTATCAATGAATTATGTTTGTATAATCCTTCAAAGTTTCCAGAGTGTTTTCATCATAGTTGTGCTGTGAGACAGGTTGTGTAAGTAGTACTATTTCCATTTTACAGAGTAGAAAACTGACATTTGGAGAGGTTATATCTTGCCCAGTGTGACAAATGAAATTTTCTGAGACACAGATTTTCTGGGTAACTAATAATCAATTTTTTAATTATGACTAGCAAATATTTAATTAAATAACGTCAGTGTCACTCTTGGAAATCAAAGGCGAACCTTGGGGAACGTTGAATGCCTTTGGAAAATGGCTTGTACCTGAGGGTGGAAATAAACTCTGATTGGTTAACAACTAGTGAGAGTTAAGGAGGTGGGCTAAAGACCTTTCAGCTCTTCCTGCTGAGGACATGATGATGCTCAGCTACCTCCAGCTATCTGGACAAAGGTATCCGTGTCTAGCCAATCCATGAACAATAAATGATGGTGGGATAAGAATTCTGCCTAGATAAGTTTCTCTTTGTAAGGTCTTCTTCTTGGGGGTCCCATGAAGGATCAAAAGCATGTGGCCTTTGGATTTGGGCAATCTCATCCATCAGAGACTGATTGAATAACCTACAGGGGGCTGGTTTCTGAATGAGGAAATAAGGGAAAATCTTCATCCTAATTTAATAATTGGTTATTAATATGAGAGAAATAATCATTTGTCTTTTACCTAGACTTTAACAAAATATTTTTCAGATGTGATTCATTTGGACAAAAATGGTTAGATGGTAGTTCCATTAGGCAAATTCTGAGTTAGTTGAATGCCTGGACCTAAAAGAGTAGTCCTTAACTTATTTTTGTTTGTTTTTGTCATCTTAGAAGGAGGTTTCCAGTAGGATGCTCTCAGGCTATGTGATTGCCCTGTATCAATTAACATTTTTGTCACTGACATGGATAATGGAATAGATGACATGTCTATCAGATTTCCAGAAGTCACAAAGCTGTGATAGATAGCTAACATCTTTCAGGATTTTACTCTAGAAGTTAACATCTAGTCTTCAAAAATATCTTGATAATCTAGAATATTAGATGCAGGCTAATAAGACATATTTTAATAGAGATAAATACAAAATCTTACACTTGGGTTCCAGAAATCAACCACACAAATATAAAATTAAGTAGGTGTTGTTCCACAGCATTTTGCCTGAAAAAGATGTGAGATTTTCAATGTACTGAAAGCTGTGCAAATGATCTGAAGTAGTGTGGCAGCCAAGAAAGCAACTTCAATCTTGGGCTACATTGAGAAAGGAATGGTGTCCAGGGCTAGGGGATTGATAGTCTCGTTGTTTTCTATCTTGGTCAGACCACGTCCGGAATATTGCCATCATATCTAAACTCCATATTTTTGGAAGATATTGATAAGCTGAAGAGTGTCCACTATAGCTGTCTGTAAGAAATGGAAGTGCTGGCTGTTATGTGAAAGAAATTAGACTTTTATAGTATTAGAATTAATTGTTCTTCATACATCTGATAGAATTTGCTTGTAATTCCATCTTTTCCTAATGTTTTTTCCTTTGTAACTCATTTTTGCATTGTTCAATATATTTTTCTGAGATTAGGATATTTAAGTCCTCTTTCTTGTTAATTTGAGTGTTTTTATTTTTGTAAAATATGCATGTATTTCATTTAGATTATAAGTTTTATTCGTATATTGAAATAGTCTCTGATGTAATAATGATATAGTTTCTAATAATTTTTGTTACTGCAATGGTTGTGTGTTCACTTTTTATTTTAGATATAGTTAATTTGATATTCTTTTTAAAAATTACATACCCTAGTTATTATTTTTGGCATTCTTTTTATTGTATTTCCAGTAAACTAGCTTTTTTTTTTTTGATTAGGCAATGGGGTTAAGTGACTTGCCTAGGGTCACACAGCTAGTAAGTGTTTTGTGTCTGAGGCCGGATTTGAACTAAGGTCCTCCTGAATCCAGGGCCAGTGTTCTATCCACTGCGCCACCTAGCTGCCCCTAAAGTGGCTTTTATTTATTGATTTTTTTTTTTTAAGTTTTCTTTTCAGTTTTGCTAATCTCCAATTTTCAGTATTTTTCATTTGGTTCTTAATTGGGATTTAAAACATTAGCTTTTCTAATTATTTAGTTGCATATGAATTTGTTGATCTTCTCTCTTTTATTGATTAAAGTGTTTTATGTATATATGTACATACAATCATATATGTATATATATATACATATATACATATATATATGTGTATCCACACACACATATATATATCCACACACACACGTATACACACATTTCCCCTAAAGACTCTTTTGGTGGCATCTCTAAAACTTTAGCGTGTTGTCTTATTGTTGCCCTTATCTTTAATGAAATTATCAATTGTTTCTTTGGTTTTTTGATCCATATGTTCTTTAGGATTTAGTCTCCAATAATTTTTAATTTTTGCTTGTAAGTCCATTTTTTCCAGTATTATTTTTGTTGTATTTGTGGTCCATAAAAGATGTTTAGTATTTTTGCTTTAGACATTTGTTTGTAAGGTTCCTAATTCATGGTCAGTTTTTGTAAAGGTGCCATAAAGAGCTGAGAAATATGACTGTTTTCTTATTCATGTTTGAAAATTTTCTGAAGTCTATCATTTTCAGAAATTCTATTCAACACCTTACCTTATTTCTTGTTTCTTTTTTGTTTTCATTTGTCTAAGTTTAAGAGAGGTAAGTTGAAGTTCTCCACTATTACAGTTTTACTAGCTGGGGTATAGGATGCTTGGGGAAGACTAGTACCTCTGGTGTGAGAACTGCTGTGATGTTTTAGAGCTGCTTTCTGCTTTGGGGTCCACCTGATTCTCCCAACTCTCACCTGTGGCTCCAAGAAGCTATAGCATACATAGCAGCCACATTCTGGTAAACTGTTTTGGCAAATAGGCTAAACCAAGTTGAGGATAACTGAGGAGGTCTCAGACTCTCTAGTGACTTAGGGAGGTATCTATCCCAAGCATGTGAAGACTTCCCTTGGCAGAAGAGGTGGATGAAAACAACAGTTTGTTTGAACAGTCATGAAGGCAGCTATAGCAGGTGCTGTGGAGCATTTAGAGCTTGGTCAGACACCAAAAATGCCAAGGTCATCTCCTGCATCCTCTTACTTCTTTATAAATTTAGAAGGCTTTTAAAAATAACCCTTCTATATGTATATGTTGTTCCTTCTTTAACCCAATTCTGATGAGAGTAAGGTTTCAGCACTACCAGCCCTCCACTCTAACCTGTTTCCTCTGTATCAGTTCTTCCTTTCATGCCTTTTTTATGTGACATAGTTGCTCCTTTTAACCTTTCCCTACCCAGTTTTTTTTTTTTTAGAATCACCCCATCGTATTTAGCTCAGTCCAGGTCCTTCTTTCAAACTACCCAAGTAATGATGACAGTCTTAAGAGAATCGATAACAGTTTCATATGTAAGAAGTAAACAGTTTGATCTTATTGAGGCCCTTATAATTGGTCTTTAATGTTTACCTTATGTTTCTCCTGAATCTTATATGACCATTGAGTTTTGGTCTTTTTGTTATAATACCTGAAAGTCTTTTAGTACATTAAATGTCCATTTAAAAAAAAATTGAGGATTATACTCAACTTTACTGGGTAAGTTATTTTTGGTGGCAACCACAGCTGTTTTGTTCTTTGAAATATAATGTTGCAAGACCTATGGTTTTTTAATGTAGAAGCTGCTAGGTCTTGTGTGATGATCCTGATTATAGCTTTGCAGTATTTAAATTTTTTTTCCTTGTTGTTTGTAATATTTTCTCTTTAACCTAGGAGCTTTGAAACTTGGCTATGATATTTCCTTCTGGAATCTCTTTCAGGTGGTGATTTGTGGATTTTTTCTATTTCTACTTAGTCTTTTTGTTCTAAAACTTAAGGGCGATTTTCCTAAATAATTTCTTGTAATATTGTATCAAGATTCTTTTTTTGATTGTAACTTTCAGGTAGTCCAGCAGTCCTTATGTTGTCTCTCCTTGATTTGGTTTCTAGGTCTCTTGTTTTTCTAATGAGATGTTTCTCATTGTCTCCCGAATTTTCATTCTTTTGATTTTGTTTTATTATTTCTTGGTGTCTTATAAAAGTATTAGCTTTCCCTTGCCTAATTCTGGTTTTCAAGGAGTTATTTTCTTCTTTAAGTTTTTAGATCTCTTTTTCATACCCTTTTCTACTGATACTTAGCTCAAAGGGAACGTAAACTTTAATCTCTGAAACTTGTTCTGTTTTCTTTTGTTTTTTCTCTTAAAGAGCAGCCTTAACCCCAAATCACTCTGGTCCCAGACCAAGCCCTGCTTGGTCACAGCTTGGGTCCTGATTGGCTCAGAATGAATGTAAATAACAATTGTTTCTGTTTTGGCCAGAAAGTCTGAGGGTCTTCCCCTCCCAGATCTGTGTGGTTTGTACTTTGTTCTTGAAGAGGACCATGACATCAGGGAGATAATGACATGACTTGCAATTGACTTTGATTTGAGTGAGGGAGGGCTGTGCAAAGTTACCAGCCACATTTTCTCCTCCAGAGCCATCTGGGTCCAGTGACCAGGTATCGTTCAGGATGACTGGAGATGCCCAGGATGCAGTGGGAGACCTTGGCCTTTTTAATCAGCAGGGTCTCTTAGCCATAGCTGGCAAAATTTTTACAAGAATCCTCCTTAATGGACTGATCCTTCACCTAGAAGATGGTCATTTATCTGAGAGCTAGCATGGCTTCAGAAAGGGCTGAAGAATGGTGGATATGGTG